AATATTCGATATAAAAAGTAAATTCCAATTATTTAACCATTGGGCAACGTTTGAACCCAAAAAAAAAGTAAAAATAAATGAAAACCCTTTTTAAACCTTTAAGTAAAAGAAAGAGAAGGGAGATAAAGGCCACTTCTCTCTTGTTTTAACTTGTAAAGAAAGCCCGCTCCATACTCATAAGAGAGAAGAGAGGGTCGTTGGGAGCGGAAGCAAACCGCGGAAACGTTCCTTCCTCGCGATCCAAAGCTGTTTACTGGTAATCTTCTACGCTCTTCAGCTAGGGTTTCCTTACCGTATCCTCTTTTTGGCTAAGAACAACGCCTTTTCCAATTTCAAATTTTTTAGGGTTTCTTTTCTTTTCTTTTCTTTTTTCGTTTCTAAAATTCTCACTGACTTTGGTTGCAGGCCTCTTTGGTTCTTTTAGTCTGCTTTTTGAGCCCTTAAAGATGGTATGTTTCTCTTCCAAATTATTTGTTCTACCGTTTGTTTGGTTTCTCAGAAAACGGAGGAAACTAAACGGTGTATAACCGTGCCTTTTATAAAAAATTCGAATAATGAAATCAAATGAAATTTTAGGGCTTCGTTTTCCTTTCTTGTTTTGAGCTTTTAATTACGTTTTTCCTTTTAACCATTGCAGCTCCCTCTATCTTTGCTGAAGACTGCCCAAGGGCACCCAATGGTAAGATCTTGACCTCTTTTGTGGTAGTTCCAGACTCAGAATCACTATTTAACATAGTACCGTGTTTGGATTGTCCACTGAGATTTTAATTCGAAGTTTTTCTATGCTATAACAGCTGGTAGAATTGAAAAATGGGGAGACCTACAATGGCCATTTGGTCAACTGCGACACTTGGATGAACATCCATCTTCGAGAAGTCATTTGTACCTCCAAAGTGAGTCTATATCTTGTATTCTTGAAGTTGGCTGGACTTGAAAATTTTAATTAATTCTTATATAAGAGACTCATTTAATTTTATTGGAATACTGTGTAGGATGGAGACAGGTTTTGGAGAATGCCTGAATGTTACATCCGCGGGAATACGATAAAGTATCTTAGAGTTCCTGATGAGGTATGCATTGAGGTTTCTACGGCTTTATTGGCTTTAGTAAGGGAGCACATCTCAGGATCTAACATAACCAGTTTTGGAGTATGGTTTATGGATACAATTCTTATCTCCCAAAAAATAAAAGGCCTGAATGAAATTTACATTATACTTTGTGGGGGACCCATGTGGAACTTTATAAAATTCTTTGACAAAACCTTGTTACGTTTTGGTTGATTACTTCTACCATTGGAAAATGGTAACACATGCAATAGGAGTTTTTACTTGAGCATTCTTCCAGCTTTATTTGCCCTGATTTTGTTCGAATGCTTTAGAAGCCTATTGGAATGATCTGGTTCTGTTGCCTTTGTATTTCAGGTGATAGACAAAGTTCAAGAAGAGACCAAGAGCCGATCAGGTATGATAACGATGTTTTACTTTGCGAAGGAAGATTTTTTTTATTCTCCCTCCCTCCATCCAAAGTTGGAAAAAAAAATTCTTGGACCATTCTCTATATATCTGCTCTCAACATTGGACAAACTATTTATATTTATTTGCAAGGATAAAGCTTTATGCATTGAGATAAGTAGAAATTGCTCTAACTTTATGCGGTTTGATAAACTTCTCCAGATAGGAAACCACCTGGAGTAGGGCGTGGAAGAGGAAGAGGAGGTAGGGAGGATGGCCCTGGTGGACGTCAGGCTAAAGGCATTGGACGTGGCCTAGATGATGGTGGTTCTAAGGGTGCTGGTGGAGGCCGAGGCAGAGGTGGACCAGGTGGGAAGGCCGGTGGAGGCAGAGGTAAACGTGTTTGCCCATCTTCCCCCTTTTGTACTCTAGGAAGAAAAGAGAGTTCAATTGTTAGAGTCATATAAGTTGATCCTGTGGTGGGGTGTGGTTACTTTATGAGCATAAGCACCATGCAATTTTGGATCTTTTTGTCATAAACTCTCTCCAGGGATGACAGCTTAGCGTAAAGTTGTGAATTTCTGCTGGCACAAGGCTTATTTTCTTGTTTTTTCTGTCAGGTGGAGGACGAGGACGAGCGTGATTATGCTCATAATGTGAAAGAGCTTCGACGGGCGAGTTGCTACTTTTAAAGGCATTTTGGCCCAACTCTCATGTGAAATGTCTGGGGTTTTTTGGGTTGTGATGCTTCTTATTATGGTAGTGCGATTTAGATGGCATGGTTCTTTCGCTCCAATGTAGCCGATGTGTCTGTTTCCTCTGGTGGGCTTGAAAATTTTATCTTGACAATGTTATCATATTTTTGCACTTATTACTCTGTCCGTTACTCCCTCTTTCCTTTTTTTTCTTCCTAATTTCAACTGGTAATGTATGGGTTCCTCATAGTCTCGTTCAGACAACATAATTTATCTTCTCAATCCAATAGTACAGCCTACTCTGGTGAAACTAATTGAATCATGCTCAAATATGCTGACTTATATAACCTTGAAAGTCATTGTAAATGGTGAATAGATAATACAAATATGGTACAGAAATTTCAGTCACTGGGAAACTTTGATCCTAACAATTTTTTAAAAAATAAATAAAATTACAGGAAAAGCAAATAAACTTTATAGTTAGAAAAATTAAACAGTCGTTTTCCTAGTAGGGATGATGCCTTATTGTGTGGCGGGTCCTTGGTGATCGCGAAACCAGTGTGCTTGAAATCCATGATCGGTTTATCTCAGGAGAATTATCGGATGACCAGCAACATAAGCGGCCATCTTCCCCACCAGTCCATCCAAAAATGCCATGGCCTTGACCTTGGCTGGCCCTGCCCGGCATGCTTGACATGGGTAACACACTTCGAACAATACCTGTATGCCCACCTCCAAGAACTGCTTCGGGGGACCCTATGGCTCTCGTTCCTCTATAACTTACAGGAAAGTAACCCAAAGTGCCAGTATTCGTGCCACCAATTACCCATAATTGTTCTGCTTCTCTTGAGTAGTGGCAATCAACAAAATAATCAACCTGCCAAACAAAGTTCAATTGACTTGGCTAAAAGTAGAAGCATTTTTTTTCATGCTAATATGATATTTGGTTGGGAAATTGTGTACGAACTGAGTCTATCCATGTCCTCCAAATTAATGGCATACAAGATACATTTCAAATATGAATCTGTTGGAGAGAACAACTTACATCATCCAGTGTCCAGCAGTCAGAAGCCAAAGAACGAGCATCCTTGAAATTTGTTTCACTTGCATCTTTCCAGTCCCAGATACTACATGAGTGAAAAGAGAGTAAAATATCTGCATCTTGCAGGTTACAAGTTGGGGGAGAAAACAGAGTAAACATAAGCATCACATGCAAATATTTGTAATCAAATGCGAAGACAGAGCTGTTCAAAGCTCTTAACTTCAAGCCTGTTTCCCAAGTTGGTCGACTGATGGTGAAAGATGCAAATCACTCGACAATCCACTATGATTACAATTTACAAGGCCAAAGTCTGACAGTAGTATATTCATGATTAAATTATAGAAAGAGGTACCTTAAGGTTTCAATATGGGTCAAACACCAAAGCTTTTGATATGTCTCTCCGAAAAACCCAACCTTCCCAACTGAAGTTCCCACATTAAGCACCTAAGTTATTGAGAAGGTAAATTATCATGACAAGCTTGAACTATAAATTATGTTACATAAAACTACAAATTTTGAAACTCTACAAACTTGAACTTACTGATTCCAGATGATCATCATCATTGATATCCCCATCTGTATCAAATACACATATCAATCCATCGACAGAAGCAGAAAGAAGCTTGCTTTGATGGTCAGGAATGAAGTGAACCTACGGAAAACATAAAAGTTAAATATTCTGCTCTGTGCTATCGCATAAGCACACCCTTTACAATGCAATTTGGTGAAAGATTAAAGTCACAACAGCTAAAGCTAAATTACCCAATCCATCATTCAAGTATATGGTCAATTGTTGCAAGTGACTATTGTCCAAGAGTACCAGTCTACATGTAAATGGAATCAGACAGGAAATCCCGGCATAATTTACCAGGCCATCCAAATTCTGTGACGGTCAGGAACCCATGGATACAAGATTGGATGAGTAAATGGATGAAACAAACAGCTCATGCATTAGAACCAACCTGGGTAACATCTTCTACATGAGAGTCCTCCAGGCATGCGACTTGTTTATCATTCCTCCAATCCCAAAATAGTATCTGATATGGCAAGTCATACAACAAGAGGGGAGAAAACAAATTATATGGAGTCCATCAAAATAAGCAAGGATAAGCAAACATAAGCATATGGACTTAAAATAGTTTTCCATCCAATCAGTTTCAGAAGACTAAAGAGTGAATGTGAAACATTGAGCGGATTATCCTCTGGAGTTTTAGAACAAAAACTAACATAAATTCTTCCTTCAATGTGGAGAAAATGGTGGAAACAATGACTTTAGCTAAAATCTTAATCAAATAATGAATGGAGACACCAAGCGTGACCAAAACTCTTACAATAAATGCAGCACCTGAGTGTTACATCCAGCGGCAAGAAGACTGTTAGCTGATCCTCCAAATGAAAAGCTGAAAATCTCTTGAGAAGAACCAGAATGAAAAGAAGACACCTGCAGCATTAACAATAAAACAAAAACAAATCAAGAACATAAACATATGTCCAGACACAGAGGTACCAGTTTATGTATGCAATTAGAGAAATGAACCTGTTGGAATGTGCGGGTGTCCCAAGCTCTAATGGTTCCGTCAGAAGAACATGAATGCAAGACATGAGGAGTTGAAGGACCTGAGAAAGAGATGTGGTTGATAGTTGCAGAGTGGCCCTTGCACTCTCCATAGTACTGACCTGTCACTGGTGAGTACACCTTCACTGCGTTCGTTGACAGAGACACCGCCATTGCTGTCCAATCATCCCTTCCACCAAAAGCCCACAAAAAATTCAAACTCAATAAAGAATCATATGACCCAATTTAATCAACTATGTTTGGGTTCAGAGAAAATTTACGAAAAGGAAGAAATTGAAGTGTTTAGCTTAAAGTGGGAAGTGCGAGCTGCATAACACAATTGAAATGTCGAATTGTTTGTTTGGTAGGTTTTATTAGCAGAGTCAATAATTCAATTCTGTGACAGATTTTCAGGATTTTCGTGGGAACCAAACAGAAAGTAAAGGAATATATTTTGAAGCAAGAAGCTAAAACAAAAATTTTACTTGAAGATAATGCTTCCTTGTGAGCACATGTCTCTCCTGTGTGAACAGCAGATTAAGCAAAACATCGTAGCTTGTTATTTGGAACACATCTTTCTTGGCATGAAAAGGAATTGAAAAGCTATATAGATGTTAATGTTTTGGCTTGGTCTTGCATGTTGCACGGATAGTGAAGTTAGCTTTGAAAATTTGGTATATTAAAGCAGAGTTGGAAAAGCGAGAAGGGTAAGAGAGAGACAGAGAGGAGGCGGATTTGATTAGGTAGGAGTGGATGTATAGATCATGACCATTGCTATAAATTGAACTTCTAATTGATTTAGTTAAGTTACATACATAAGAATTTGTTAAATATGCATGCTACCAACTACGGAAAAAAAAATGAATGAAAAAAACACAACCTAAAGACTAATCAACAAAACTTAACTTAAATATCCTACTGTGAACCTAAGTTCCTACTATGAATCCACCATAGGAGATTAGTGAGAGAGTTTCCATCATCAAAACCCTTCAAGCTCTTAATCTTCTCCGAAGCACCATCCTTATCATAAATCCCTTGCAAGGCATAGACAAAACCCTCCCATCCTTCCTCAACTCCTTCTCTACTCAAAGCTGGCAATGCCCATTCCACAATTTCCTTAGCAAAGCCATCATCAGAGAACAAAATCTCAGTGATTGGGGATATGGGCAGCAACTGAATTCCAAGCCTCATTTCTTTTGCCTCTTGAGGAGCAAACCAAAGTCCACTGTCTCTCTTGTTTGCCCATAAAATTCCCACAATCCTATTTTCCTTTGTGAACTCTTCCTCATATAGTGTATCTCCTTCTCTTACATGCCACCACATTTGAGCTGCTTGAATTTCCAGAGCTGTAAGCATTGATCCACTGTTGAAAAGATTGGTGTCTCCATAAGCTAAGCCCATCAATGCAGCTGAGTAGTAAGCATTCACTGCCTCACTTGTGCTCTCTTGGTCCCTTCCATCTCCAAATTCAGCCAGTCCTCCAGCCCATGAGTGTAGTTTGTACAAATCAAAGCATCTCAACCGAGGAAAGTTTGAATTTGATTGGTTGCCCATGTTGATGAAATCTGCTGCAAGAGAGTAAGCTTGAGGCTTGTACTTGCTCCCCCATGCATGGTCAATCTTTGCAAGCACTGAAATACCATAAACAAAATATCCAAGATGATAATGGTGATCATTATAAACTCCAAACCCAAAATCTGCACCGCGATCGGTTGATCCTTGTTGGGTGACAAGTCCACCCCATTTAGGATCATACAGAAAACCATTCCCACTAAAAGTACCATCCAACCATGGCTCGATGGCATCTGCCAAGTATTTCCTAATTGCTGGAACCACATCAAGACAATTCACCTCCTCGGCAATTAAAGCCAACCTTGCTGCTCTGGCAACCAATTTCCCATAAAAGTAAGACGAAGCAGTTGTTATTGGCGTCGAACTAAGAGCCTTAACATCACGACGAAGCGCAGAAACAATTTCAGGGTATGAGGCTTGTTTGACACCTCCAATTGAGTGCCAAGTGACTGATACATTATGGGATTTCAACTCCCACAAATCACCAACTACACCAACCAGATCACCATCAATGCTCTTGTACTTGAAATCCTCCAAAATAGTAGCGTTAGACAGAAGCTGAAGATGGAGAGGATGAGCTAGCATAAGCAAATCTCCCCGTCCATACTTTTCCCATTTATATTCCAAAGTGAATGGCTTTGTGAACACAGCTTCACCAGAAACAGGATAAGCAGAACTAAATCGGTCAAGGATTGCTGCGTATTTTGGATCAGAACCTGGCACCAATGCAATCCGAATATTCCCAGAATAGCCATCAAAAGTTAAGGTTGATGGGCTGCTTCTAGTCAAAGTAGTTGGGGAGGAGGTGTACATAACCCATGTTTGATTGTTGTCAAGCTGGACGGTGAACTTGGTCTTTGAGTTGCTTGAATAGGATTCGAGGATTGCGTGAATGGTTGAGATAGAAACCGTAGTGGGGCTAGACACATTGCAGGTGACATAGGGGCTTCCTCGAGCGAGGAAGAAACGAAGGTTGGAGGAGGGAAAGTCCAAGGTGACACTGAGATCAGTGAAGGCAGAGATTACACGGCTGCTGCTATTTGTTGTAGCTAAGTTGGCGCTGGTTTGGGAGGCAGAGATGGTGAGATCAGGGACAAAGGTTTGGGAGATGAAAGCAGAGGTGGAGGAGAGAGATGGGTAGGAGAGAGATAGAGAGGATGAGGAGGAGTTGATGCTGTAGGGGTGGAAGTACTCGGGTTTGTCACCATTGTTGAGAGCAAAGTTCTGGAAAAAAGAATTGGTGGGGAGAGGGGTGGTGAGGAGGTTTGCAGAGAAGAAGCTTGAAGGGTCGGGGAGAATTGTGGATTCGGTTGGAGGGAATTGGAATGGGGATGATGATGAGGTGGTATGTGGAATTAGTGAAAGAGCTGAAACACAGAGGATGAGAGCAAAAGAGAAAGCAGATGTGAGGTTGTTGTTTGCCATTGCTCCTTATTGTAGTGGTGAAGTCTCTCTTCAATTAGCCTCATATTTATAGGTTTTTTCAAGATGTTCCTAGTTCTGTAAGGGTTTCTTTTTTCTGGGTTCCTATTGTAACTAGAGATTAGTGTTGTAGATCTTGATGGGTTCCTATCGTAACTGGGGATTTCTTTCCTCGTTAGAACTTGATCGGTTCCTATTGTAACTAGGGATTTCTTTCCTAGTGTTGTAATCTTGATATATTCCTCCATATTGAAGGAAACTGATATATTCCTCCTATCGTTGACAGAGACACCGCCAACCCACAAAAAATTCAAACCCAATAAAGAATCGTATAACCCAATTTAATCAAAGAAAATTTACGAAAAGGAAGAAATTGAAGTGTTTAGCGAAAAGTAGGAAGTGCGAGCTGCGCAACGCAATTGAAATGTCGAATTGTTCGTTTGGTGGGTTTTATTATCAGAGTCAATAATTCAATTCTGTGACAAAGATTTTCAGGATTTTCGTGGGAACCAAACAGAAAGTAAAGGAATATGTTCTGAAGCGAGAAGCTAAAACAAAGGGAACGTACTTGGGGACAATTTGGAAAACGTAGTCATCTCCGAAATTTGTTTGGATAGAGTTTTTTAGCCCGAAACGCTTGAACGAGTTTGGATTAGACTGAGGTTGTTCCTCCACGTCCATGTCCGTAGCTTCCATCTCTGTGTCTGTGTCTGTGTCTGTGTCTCTCTGTGGTGCGAGGCGCTTCTATTTTGAGCCGGCTAAACAAAATTACAAACGCTCTTTTGGGTTTAGGGTTTTAGCTCCGCTATGGTAAAAGTCAACCTTTAGTCAACCAATTTCTGTCGACATATCCATAGCCTAATTAACCCCCACCCCCCGCCCCACCTTTCTTCCTCATCCTGACCAAACATTATTGCGGAATATAAGACTGATTAAAGATCCTTTTCCAAAGATTCTATCTTCAAATTACCCATTTTAAAAGTAAATAAAAAAGAAAATTAATCAAATCCATAAAGGGATCTTTTATTTTTTGAAATAAATCTTTATCCTTTTTTTTTTATATTTTAATTAGATTATTTACTTGTTTTTTATTTTTAAAAATTTCTCAGTCCAAATGGCGCAACTTACATGTTCCATATGGATCCACCGATTGCCACATCAGCATTTTAATGGAGGGATTAACGAAAGCACTAGCGAATGTATGAAAGTGTTAAAAAAAAAAACATTTGGCATGAGAATGAGACGAAAAAAACTTTATGAAAAGCTAAAACTCGGCAAACTTCAAGGTAGTAAACTTCATGACCAGGAATAAAACCCATAGTTCAGATCCATGAAACAAATAGCTAAAAGTACAACACCCTGAGTATTGCCAGTTCTGTAATCCAGAACTCATCATTTTGCTGACATCGAAGATACAGCTTGCTTAACACGGTTAGATAAAAAACAGACACCTAGTAACTAAGGCAGAAAAAAATCACAACATAACCATGCAAGCTTTGGTTGACTGCTTCGGTAACTTGAAATTATGCGCTCCCCGCACCTTCCTTTTTCTCTTCCTTCTTCTCTTCCGAAGGATCATCTCCAATCTCTTCTGCTTCGTTCTTGTCAGAGTCCTGTTCTCCCGGCTTTGGCAATTCTAGGTCTGCAATAAAAGGACGAGTCAAGATTACTGAGGTACCGAACAAGCGATGGTAGCTTAAGAAATCATTTTATTCTCTTTCATCCAACAAATGAACTTATCAAAAGTAATTTCATATGCACCTATAGCAGCCATGGCCACTCTCACGAGGAAAAACTTTAAAGCAAGAACTTACCCAAACCTCAACTATACAAGCTAATGGGTCCTTTCTTTTTTGCGGGGGTAGGGGTGGGGTTAATGAAGGTACCCAGCACATATATACACCATGAAAGTTGTGTTGTGAATTCTCGACCTACGCTTACTACAATATTGATCTTTACTCAGTTTGCCACTAAGGATTAAGCTAATTTGTCTTCTTACCTTCGTCACTATCATCAAAGTCACCCATTGCATCATCACCTCCCATACCACCAAATTTCTGCATAATCCAAGTAGAGTGTGAACAATGAATACATATGCACGAAAATAATTCAAAAAATGAAATCTCATAAGTTAGAATATACTAACCGAGAAATCCATCCCTCCCAAATCCAAGTCACCAGGACCTGATCCTGATCAGAACAAGCAGTGCTAATTTAGTAAAATACAAGAAGTATGCCAGCTTTGTCAAATTAAACAGTTTGAAGAACAGCTTTGTCAAATTAAACAGTTTGAAGATATGGAACAGCATATGCAAGTTGTATACCAGTATCCTCGTCTTCATCCACCCATTTGTCCCAATCTACTTTGACATAATGGGGTGTCTTTTCATCTCCACGCAAAAGCTTCTTCCACCAAACTTTCTCTGCCTTCTCCAAAATACAGAAGATACTCCTCACTCCAACATTTATTTTGCTTTCCTATTATAAGGTTATAGGACAGAATAAGAACCCATATAAACGCAAACATTTCGAAAGAATATCCAAGTATTTAAGATTACATAAACAAATTATTACCTCCACATTAACCTTATCAAAAAGATCCAGTTTCAGTTCATAATGGTGATTCTCTGCGCCGGCACTAGCAGAGAAACTAAAAACTCCATCAGGTTCAAGTTTAACCTTGGCGTCCTTTGCATCAGGCAAAAGCACAGTAATGAAAACCTTGTCCACCCTTTGGGCCCACTTCACCTCAGGATGACGACTGCCACAATTGAAGCATGTCAGCGCAAAATTCGTTTGAAAAATGCATCATCAAGTCAATATCAACTAAAGAAAAACTAGAATAGAATTCTCTCCTATCTTCACAATCAATGGCTCAAAGGCTCAGGGTAAGTACATTTCAAATTGATGACCAAATTGTTCGCTTTTTTATAAATTTGAAACCAAATATCAACAGAGTGACAAGGCAAACTCAAAGGGACAAATAACTATACTCAAAACGGTGACGAATTTATGATCATAACATAGATAAATCACAGGCTTCAATCCAAAAACAATACAATGTCCTATATTTTTCCATTAAAAAAAAGAAAAAGAAACCCATAGAATATCTTCATTTCTTGAACCATAGTCTATGCTCTCACTTTTTTCTTTCTTTTAAACAGCCAAACATGGTTTCAAAACATCAAATTTAAAGAGCTAAACGCACAAGTCTACAGAGAGGAAACGATATCAGAAATATTATATGAATATTGAATATGAAAGAAGAAAAACAATGGCATGAAATGTATCGAGGACGACATGAGAGGGCGAAAGCAGAATAAGAAGAGCTTACCTCATATTGTTCTGGGAAGAAGAAAGGAAAGTGTAAAACCCTAAAAAAAAGAGCAGAGCAAAGAGCAAACCCCCTTGCGAGTCGTGACCTACTACAACAATGAATTTGGTTTGTGAGTTACGGCCTTTCGGGAGGAAACGAGTACATACAAGAGTGGAGAGACTACGCGATGCTTCTAGACTTCGAGGCCTCTGGGCCTCAAATTTTTATATTTTGAGTTGGGCCCAGGCCTATGATTCGATAACCCACAATATTCATTTTGGTTATTTTGAAAAGGGGCTACTCGTTTTCTAGAGGCCCATTATGTGAAGACAGTCCCAGCTTGAATTTCTACGCTAGCAGTACTCGTTAGGTAGAGTGCACGGCTTAAGTTTAGCTACGTCATCGTGGTCCACGCTCCGAAAATAATTTCAAATAAATTTCAGTTTTTGTTTTCCCTTTTTTTCGCTGTACTAAAATGATTATTAGAAAACAATAATGCGAAAGAAAGAAATTGAAAATGCACTAGTTTGTAATGTAAAATGAGATAATGATGGATAGGTCAGTGTGTGAATCTGAATTTAAAGACAAAAATACAAACTACAAAGTGGGGCTTAATTGGATTTTGGTGTATGAAATAGTTTGTTTTTCTGTGCTTGGAATTGTCAATTTGGAAAAGTTGGCGCGGACCATAGAAATGGAAGTCTACTTGCTTCATTCAATGCATGCTTCAATTTGTAGATGAAAATTCTCAATCACGTGATGTCAACTGTGACGTGCTCGATTAAATGTTTGTCATTATTGGAGACGCTGATGATGATACCCTACTCTTGCTTGCTGTAATAGTAGGTCCCACTGGACTGGATGGTATGTATTTAATTTGAAACATCATCATATTGTTGAGGAAATTTATTATAAGTTAAGACCATTTATCATAGGCACATGCGATGCGATCAAAATTCAATCAATTCCTGGGCTGGTATGGTCCACATGATAAATACAAATATTATATATTACAAAATGTTGAGATTTTTGAAAAATGAAAGAAATGCGAAGTTGGCATGCAATGTATTGTTGTGTTGGATTGAAGAGAAAGAAAGCTGGCCGATTATACATGCTCATTCCTTGCGGTCTGCTCTGACCAGTCATCTCAATCTTTTTTTTGTTTTCCTTTCTCCCCAATTATCTTGTATATATGAGGGGGAATTTGGTATAGAATATATAACATTCCAAATTCCAATAGTAATGTTATATATTCTACTGTCTGTCTCCTGTCCAAATGGCACAATAATATTCTAAAATTCTAAAGGAACAAGTAGCGCATAATATGTTCATGACGCATACAACTCTGCTTTTAGTGGCAAAGGTCTATTTTAGAAAAATACTTCATTCTTTCTTTATAAGTAGGAATTCTTATATCCGAGAAAGTTATGTGTTTTTTATGAATTATTTTTGCACATGTGTCAATCCTTCATTTGCAAGAAGGAAAAGTATCCTATAATAATACATGCACGTATCACATCTATTAGAAGTAGAAACACAAAAAATGACATGTAACAGATATACTTTTCTTAGTACTAGCTACAATGCAACAATTGCCTGTTTAATTAAACGTTGCAACTTCTTTCTTTATAAGTAGGAATTCTTATATCCGAGAAAATTATGTGTTTTTTATTAATTATTTTTGCACATGTGTCAATCCTTCATTTACAAAAAGGAAAAGTATCCTATAATAATACATGCACGTATCACATCTATTAGAAGTAGAACCACAAAAAATGACATGTAACAGATATACTTTTCTTAGTACTAGCTACAATGCAACAATTGCCTGTTTAATTAAACGTTGCAATCAAATAAGTAAAGTAAGGTGGAAAGTTTAATAATTAATTTGCGGTCTCCAGACGCAAAGAAAAGGAACATCTTCTTTTCCAACATTAAAAAAGAGTCATGTACTTCCACTTTGTAAATTGAGCAACAGTTTTTGTTTACAATGATATGTCGCATTCCACGAACTAACTAAACGCGAAAAGTAGTCTACTGACCTTCCCATTTTTCCGCAATACGAGAGATATCGTTTGTCATTTACTTAATCAAGCAAGATGCCCTAATGTAATTAATAATTACATTAAAATAAATAATTATTTAAAATGGAAATATGAGCTGCCCTAAATATTCCTTTTATTTATCAGTATTAATTCTTTTATACCTAATTAATTTATACATTATACATTTGACTGGAAACATAGGCAAGTTGCAACGAACCTGTCACGTGGGTGTATGCGAAACCAATATTTTTTTTCTTGCTTTCAGATTTGGAATTTGGATGCTCAAATTTTTATTTATTATGTATTTTTTTTTAATTTATGAACCATTATGCATGGCGGTCCAAAAATACTCATGTGCAACAGTACAAGGAAACAAAAACAAATCTCTCATTGAAAAACACAAAAAGAACAAAGTTATTAATTCCACGTAATGCCAATATGTCTACGCTCCCACTCGCCGTGAATGCAACTATCCTCTACCGACGTAGTGGAGACGTGCGAACTTTTCATCCAGGAGTTTGGTGAACACGAACTGGACGAACTAAATTCTGCCACGTCATCGTATGGGATTTGGCTGGGTCCACTGCCAGTGTCGTCTAAACGGAAAGTGGTGGCCAGGCTCTTAGAAGGTGCGTGGATGGGAGGTTTCTCTTTATTTAGAAGCCCAGAAAATGCCAGGTACGTATATGGTTAATAATAAGTTAGGAACAAACTGGTGCGTCTATTTGACCTCAGAAAACAAAAAAGATTAAAAAAAAAAAAAGGAAAAGAAAACTGTATTTTCCTGTCTTTCTGTCATTCTCTATCGGAGGGCGGAGTGAAGAACACCGTTTATCCACGTCTTTCACTCACGCCATTAATAAATTCTGGTCCAAGTCCAACTACAAACAGGCCGTGAAGCTAATAATACATAGACGCCCAGAAAAATTAATATCACACAAACAAAAACATCTCTCTCTCTCTTTCTCTCTTTCTCTCTTTCTCTCTCTATATGCAGGCAGAGAGAGCAAGGGAGCAGGTAAAAGGGACACGTTTCTAGTGAAGCGTGTTTGGTGCCTTGGGATTTTCCCTTGGACTAAAATTATTTCAGCAGCAGCCGCAGCAGCAGCTTCGAAATCTGAGTGTGCTTGCTTGCTGCTTGCTTGCTTGTGGACTTTTGTTTAATTCTCCCTTTTATTTATTGGTCGTCGTCCATAATGCACCGGAAAGCGCCTTCTCCTTTTTGGTTGCACCTTTCAACCTGAACCTGCACCTTCATCTTCACATAGCTTCAAGCGTCTTTCAACCCAGGTAATTAGTTGATGATGGGTCTTTTTTGCCTTTTGCATGCCTCAGCTTTAGCCCTCGTTTTTGTCTCACTCCAAACATATTGGTGCAATTTTCTCACCTTTTTCCCGTTTCCTTTCTGCACAGTCAAGTTCACTTTTTTCCCCCTTTAAAAACCTTTCTGCACAGTCAAGTTCACTTTTTTTCCCCTTTAAAAAAAATATTGTTTCTGCGGTTGATGTTAAAGTTTTCGTTGATTAATAGATTGGATTTGAATGGTAGCTTTGATTATTCTCCAGCTACCCCCTTATACTCAATGATTTAATAGTTATTATATTATATGCTGTTTTGTCTTCACTTCAGCATCATTTTTGCAGTGATCATATTCATCTGATTTGTCCGCCTTTCAGTTATAATTAATTAATTCATACTTCGTTATTTTATCATTTCACCTGTTTTTTTATTCTTCAGTTTCGTCTTTGACAAGAATTGGCTTTGAAAATAACCAACCAAATGCTTGCTTGTGTTTCTTTGAATGTTAGTATAAACGTAGCTATCAAAACACTCGTTGTTGGTTTTGTGTTCACGTGCTCTGCCTGGTTACAGCTCTCCAAAGCTCATAACGTTGCGAGAGCTCCAAGAAAATCAAACCAATGTCAGCATAATGTTCTGCTTCGGTCCAAAGAGTGACTCTGCACAAGTCTTTGCCTCCTGATTTTCCTGGCACTTTCTTAATGACTTCCCAGTGCTTTACACTGAGAAATGAATAATATGTTCTTACCCGATGATATTTGGTTTTTAGCTTTCATTCAATTATCTTCAGCTTTCTTCTTTAAAGAAAACAAATTTTAAATACCATCTTTTTGGGGTAGGAGACGCTGGCCTTTTATGTTTTGTAACTTTCTGCTTATATGATTGAAGCAGTTTTAAGGTGTTTGCTTGCTTTCTTTATTTGTTCTTATAATTTTGAATTCATTTCTGCTAATTTCCTTCTATATACAATGAGGGCCAGTGCTTGGTACATAAATTTCTGTTAAATTTTCAGGGAAAGAAGAAGAAGGTCATGGGTGCAATTTCAACATAAGAGAGTGGAACTCTAGCCTCTGCTGCAAACTTTGTTACCATGTCTTCCGGGCCCTGGATCACGTCTAGTTCCTGTTCACCATCTGTGGTTCAATCCTCGGAAGATACCTCTGTAGCAGCAATATTTCAATGGCTAAGATTCATCTTCCTCTCTCCCTGCCCTCAGAGAGCTCTGCTTTCCTCTGTTGACCTCTTGTTCTTGCTCTCACTCTTAGCATTTTCAATACTAAAGCTTTACTCAAAGTTCGTCTCCAATGGCCACCAAAGCTCGGAACTCAACAAGCCCCTCATCAGGAACAGCAGAGCTCATCTCAGAACCACTATATGCTTTAAACTCTCTTTGACCGTGAGCGCTCTGTTAACCCTATGTTACACTGTTGTTTGCATTTTGGCATTCACTAGAAACACTGAGTTGCCATGGAAACTCGTAGATGGGCTATTTTGGTTAGTTCAAGCCATCACTCATGCAGTGATCACAATACTAATAGCCCATGAAAGGAGATTTGAAGCTGTTAAGCACCCGCTATCACTTCGAGTTTATTGGGTTGCAAACTTCATTGTTATTTCTTTGTTTACAGTCTCCGGAATACTTCGTTTGGTGTATGTCCAACAAAATCAGGACCCTAGTTTTAGATTGGATGATGTTATTTCCATGGTGTCTTTCCCTCTATCAATTGTTCTTCTTGTTATTGCCCTTAGAGGATCCACTGGGATTGCAGTGAACAGAGAATTCGAACAAGGTATGAATGGAGAAGGCAATTTATACGAACCCCTTTTGAGCAAATCCAATGTGACTGGCTTTGCTTCAGCTTCCATAATTTCTAAGACCTTTTGGATTTGGATGAATCCTCTGCTCAGAAAAGGGTACAAAGGCCCTCTAAAGGTTGATGAAATCCCATTCCTCTCCCCGGAACATAGAGCTGAAAAAATGTCGGTTCTCTTTGAATCAAACTGGCCAAAACCACAAGAAAAATTGGACCATCCAGTTCGAACCACATTACTCCGGTGCTTCTGGAAAGAAGTTGCTTTCACAGCTTTCCTTGCAGTAGTGAGGCTTTGTGTCATGTATGTAGGGCCTGTGCTTATCCAAAGTTTTGTGGATTTCACTGCGGGAAAAAGAAGCTCGCCTTATGAAGGATACTACCTTGTAATGATCCTTCTATGTGCAAAATTTGTTGAAGTTTTAAGCACTCACCAATTTAACTTCAACTCCCAGAAACTTGGGATGCTCATTCGTTCCACTCTTATTACTTCTTTGTACAAGAAGGGTTTGAGGTTGTCATGCTCAGCCCGGCAGGCTCATGGGGTTGGACAGATTGTGAATTACATGGCTGTTGATGCCCAACAGCTCTCTGACATGATGCTACAGCTGCATGCTATATGGATGATGCCAGTGCAACTTGCCATTGCATTGTCCCTTCTGTATAACAGTCTTGGTGCTGCAGTGCTCACATCTGTAGTAGGAATCATGTGTGTTCTTGTGTTTGTTGTGCTTGGCACGAGACGGAACAACAGGTTCCAGTTTAATGTCATGAAGAATCGGGATTCAAGAATGAAGGCAACAAATGAGATGCTTAACTACATGCGTGTGATCAAATTCCAGGCTTGGGAGGAGCACTTTAATAAGAGAATTCTGGCTTTCCGTGAGTCAGAGTTTAGCTGGCTGACCAAGTTCATGTACTCAATCTCTGCCAATGTTGTGGTTATGTGGTGCACCCCAGTAGTTATATCAACTCTCACATTTGGCACTGCACTCTTATTGGGTGTCCGACTTGATGCGGGGACAGTGTTCACAACCACAACCATCTTCAAAATTTTGCAGGAGCCCATCAGGACCTTCCCACAATCTATGATTTCAATTTCTCAAGCTATGATATCTCTTGGGAGGTTGGACCGTTATATGATGAGTAGAGAGTTGGTGGAGGATGCAGTGGAGAGAGACGAGGGCTGTGATAGTAGAACTGCTGTGGAGGTTAAAAATGGTGCGTTTAGCTGGGATGATGAAAGCAAAGAAGAGGATTTGAAACACATAAATTTGAATGTCAATAAAGGGGAGCTAACGGCTATTGTAGGGACAGTGGGATCTGGAAAGTCTTCCCTTCTAGCCTCAATTCTTGGTGAGATGCACAAGTTATCTGGAAAGGTATGATTTGATACCCATTAAACCCTTTTCTAGATGTCTCTTATGACATAAAATCCCTCCACTGAACCATAAGTTTATAACCAGGGCATAAGTTAACTCACACAAAAGGCTTCAGTTTAATCAAGCACTTGTTGAATTAATAAACTTTTTGACAGGTACGAGTTTGTGGCACAACTGCCTATGTTGCTCAAACATCATGGATTCAAAATGGGACCATTGAAGAAAACATCTTATTTGGTTTGCCAATGGACAGAGAGAGATACCAGGAAGTTGTCAGGGTTTGCTGCTTGGAGAAGGACTTGGAAATGATGGAGTTTGGAGATCAAACTGAGATAGGAGAGCGTGGCATCAACCTAAGTGGTGGCCAGAAACAGAGGATACAACTTGCCAGGGCTGTATATCAAAATTGTGACATATATCTTCTCGATGACGTTTTCAGTGCTGTCGATGCTCATACTGGATCAGAAATATTTAAGGTGACATTGCTTTAGATTTTCTTCTACATTTGATAGTAAAGAAATGATTTACTTTTGATTCCACAGTGATTGAGCGGTCTTGCTTGCTCTTACAATGGTGGTTTGAACACTATTCGATTTTCATAGTCTAAATGAGTTGAAAATAAATAAGGTCTTGTTAAGAATAGCAGTTCAAAGTGATACTCATTGAATATGATTTGTATGCATAATGTTCTACTGATCATGATTTATTTTCTGCAGGAATGTGTGAGGGGTGTGCTTAAAAACAAGACGGTTTTATTGGTAACTCATCAAGTTGACTTCTTGCATAATGTTGATCTTATTTTGGTAGGTATTTGAGAATCTTTTTCGTTTTGGTTTCTCATCAGTTTAGTGACCAAAGAAATTATAATCGGAATTTGCACATGTATCTCTCCTACTTATTTATTTGTTAAAATTTATTACCTCCAAATAATATCAGGTCATGAGAGATGGGATGATAGTACAAGGAGGAAAGTATAATGAGTTGCTAAGCTCTGGCCTGGATTTCAAAGAGCTAGTAGCTGCCCATGAAACCTCCATGGAGCTCGTAGAAATGAGCCCCACTATTCCCAGCAAAAGTTCCCCCAGCCCTCAAATATCTCCTCAACCATCTTCAAACCACCGGGAAGCCAATGGTGCAAACGACTCTTTAGGCCAACCAAAGTCTGATAACAGGACTTCTAAACTCATCAAAGAAGAGGAGAAAGAAACAGGCAAAGTGAGCTTGCACGTTTACAAAGTTTATTGCACAGAGGCTTACGGATGGTGGGGTGTGGTGTTGGTGTTGTCATTGTCTCTCTTGTGGCAAGCAACTCTAATGGCGGGTGATTACTGGCTGTCCTATGAAACTTCAGCAGATCGTGCAGTGGCATTCAAGCCATCTGTCTTTATTACCGTCTATGCTATTATTGCTGCTATTTCATTTCTTGTGGTATTGGTAAGAGCATTTTCTGTTACGATTGTGGGGCTTTCGACAGCTCAAATTTTTTTCAAGCAAATTCTTCACAGCATCCTGCATGCCCCCATGTCATTTTTCGATACTACACCTTCTGGAAGAATTCTGAGTAGGGTAAGAGTTTGTGAGTTAGAATTGCTTACCTTTTCTTTTTCTGTTTAAGCATTAGTTTTTGTCATAGTTGATGTGATCTTTTTTTCTAACTGATGAGAATATATCCCCCACCAGGCATCAACAGATCAGACGAATATCGATCTATTTCTTCCCTTCATTTTGGGTATTACCGTTGCCATGTACATCACTGTGCTTGGCATCTTTATCATCGTATGCCAAAATTCGTGGCCAACAATATTCTTGCTGATTCCACTTATTTGGCTTAATATATGGTACCGGGTATGTTCATTCTTTCTATCATGCTGTTGATATTTAACTATAATGTTGCAATGAATGTGTTAGACATACATGAATGGGTTGCACTGAAGCACCCTTTTCTATGATCTTGATCATGCATATTATTGGTCATCAAGAATAATATGATCGTGGCTATGCATTGGTCATTTTAAATAACGTGTATGAATCCAACTCCTGATCCTTTGAATTACTGGCAAAGTTTGACATTTTGGCTTATCCATGAATGTAAAAATGTCAAACTTGATGGCAAAAACTTTTTTTTAACCAAAACCATATGACTCTGTAACCATTGGTGTCGCCTTAATTATATGCTGAAGATCTTTCTTCTGTTTGGATTTTAGGGTTACTATCTTGCATCATCTCGTGAATTAACTCGGCTGGATTCAATCACAAAAGCTCCTGTTATCCATCACTTCTCAGAAAGCATATCAGGGGTGGTGACGATCCGCTCTTTCAGAAGGCAGAACATGTTCTCCAAGGAAAATGTTAAACGTGTTAATGCCAATTTACGTATGGATTTCCACAACAACGGATCCAATGAGTGGCTGGGTTTCCGTTTGGAGATGCTTGGGAGTTTAATTCTCTGCATTTCCACTCTATTCATGATCTTATTGCCAAGCAGTATTATAAAGCCAGGTATGTAAATCCTCTCATCCCTTTTTTTAATTGTGCAACACTCATATCTAGCACTTGATTCATGGTCACTCGTGATATGAGATGCCGAAATAAATAATAATTATGCTTCAGTTTATGGTTATTATTATAATGTCTTATTGATTTGAGGTGTGTGTCAGCATCTTATTTTGACACATCTGATATAAATTAGCTGCAGTAGATGAGTGTCTATTTCATAAATTTGGCTAAATCAGTTATTCCTTCATGGTACAGAGAATGTTGGTTTAACTCTCTCCTACGGATTGTCCTTGAACGGTGTGCTGTTCTGGGCCATTTATATGAGCTGCTTTGTTGAAAATAGGATGGTTTCAGTTGAGAGGATAAAACAGTTTACAAACATCCCATCAGAAGCAGAATGGGAGATAAAAGACCGTGTTCCTCCTTCAAATTGGCCTTCCCATGGCAATGTCGAGCTCAAAGACTTGCAGGTAGTTTATCTTCAATTCTGTTTATATCTTCTGAAAAAATAAAGCCGAACTTACATTCCATGAGCTGCTACACTCTAGCCATTTGACTTCCAAATGGTATCTTTGTAGTACATCTGCCATGTATAGTGTAGTGGAAGGAGAAATGAAGTGGTCTGAATGCAAGTTGTTATTAGTTGGTCATCTGTTCCTTTCGATGATGTTTTTAATTTTATGGCAAACAGGTCAGATATCGTCCAAATACACCCTTGGTTCTCAAAGGCATTAGTCTAAGCATTCACGGGGGAGAGAAGATTGGTGTTGTCGGTCGAACAGGGGGCGGGAAATCAACTTTGATCCAAGTGTTCTTTAGGCTGGTGGAACCGTCAGGGGGCAAAATCATCATCGACGGGATTGATATAACCACATTAGGGCTTCATGATCTCAGGTCTCGCTTTGGAATCATTCCTCAAGAACCTGTACTTTTTGAGGGAACTGTGAGAAGCAACATTGATCCAGTGGGAATTTATTCAGATGAAGAGATTTGGAAGGTAAACACATTGCTACCTGGTTTCCTGATTACATAGGAGTAACCCATGTCAGGTTATATGAAACAATGCTGTATGTTTATTTGTTAAATCTTAATGTTTTTTTTTTTTTTTTTTGTAGAGCCTTGAACGCTGCCAACTTAAAGATGTGGTAGCTGCAAAACCTGATAAACTCAATTCTTTAGGTATGTGACTCTCTGGTTATTGAAAACCAAATGGAACTGACATGCAAGGATTAGGATTAGGTACTGACTGTTTCCATAAAATTTTAATTTAATAGTGGCTGATGACGGAGGCAACTGGAGCGTGGGGCAAAGACAGCTTCTCTGTTTGGGGCGAGTCATGTTAAAGCACAGCCGGCTCTTGTTCATGGACGAGGCCACGGCTTCAGTTGATTCACAGACTGATGCTGTAATACAAAGGATCATCCGAGAGGATTTTGCTACATGTACAATAATCAGCATTGCTCACAGAATCCCTACAGTGATGGACTGCAATAGAGTTTTAGTAGTAGATGCAGGTTAGTGCTCTCTTGACCTTGTTGCTTTCGGCATTTGTTTACCACATGAAAATTGTAGCTCATATTCTTTTGTTTCTGTGTTTTTAACAGGACTGGCTAAAGAATTTGACAAACCGTCCCGCTTGCTTGAGAAACAATCATTGTTTGGGGCATTGGTTCGGGAGTATGCCAACCGTTCATCAGGACTATAAGCAACCATCTTTGGTTTCTCTATCGTTGCTTCCGTTGATTGCTTTTGTGCTTGCAAATCTTCCAAGAATCACTGCCTGCATTTGTCCTGGAAAAATAACATCAAAGGGTGACATAAAAGGAGTCTTCCCATCATTAAAATAAAAATGAAGATCCGCTCTGTGCTGGAATTATCAACACAATGGAAGTCCAAATCAAGCGTACCTCTTAGACTAGTGGCAATCACTATATGAAGTAGCTAATCTAATCCTGTTTACCACCTACAGTTCTCTATTCAGTTTAGAATATGTTTAGATGAGAATATTATATTTCCCGAAACCTTCTTGACAAGGGTGCTGTTTGTGCAAATCAGTTGTATTGTCTCTCTCTCATTTTCCAATGACCAGTCCAGTTATGTAGGGGTCTTCCTTCTTTCTATGGATCAATGTTCTACACAACACAACTGGGATCTTTTTATATAAAATTGAGTAAAAATGAAGTTTTCTCAACGCCTGGTATCTTTAACTGGTAGATTGGTAGATTATTGGTTAAGCATGCATGTCTCACAGTTCATTCAAACATATACGAGTCTTGGCCTCACGATTTTCCTCGTACTTTCTTAATGATTTCCAAGTAATTCACACTGAAGATATGTTTTTTTTTATAAAATTTATATAGAAGAAAAACAGAATTAGACATTAAAACCACGTGCAACACGATCAAGAAAGCAGTCCAGCTGAATCGCTGCGAAAACTTGAGTAGGCAGGAACACATTTCACCCAAATATGTTCTTCCAGCTCATGACCCAAGTTTGCAAGCAAATCATGATATAGTTTTCATAAAGTTATTTTAAAAAACAGAAAATTTTAAATCCCATCTTTTTGGACTGAGGACTCTGTCCTTTTGTGTTTTGGAACTTCTGCTGTAAAGAGGTTGTTTCAATAGGTCAAGTGCTTTACAATTTTAAGATGTTTGTTTTTCTTTCTTTCTTTGTTCTTATAATTTTGAATTCATTTCGGCTAATTTATATAGGGTAATTTCGTTTTACAAGTTACAAGGATGGCCAATGCTTACACATAGTTCATAAATTTCTGTTAATTTTTCAGGGAAAAGAAGAAGAAGAAGGAGGACAAACTCTTTTAATATTTCGCGGCTGTAGTCTTAAAATATTATATTTAAACAGTATATCCGAGCGGCTGTACTATTAAAAGATTGTAAAGCGTACAGCCGCGCAGTGTACTCTGAAAATGTTATATTTAAAGCGTATAGCCGACCGGCTATACTCGCTGAATATAGGCTATACTCTTTGAATGTATTCGAATATTTATAAGTATGGCCGCGCGGCTATACTCGTTGAATATATTCGAGTATTTTACAAGTATAGCCGCGCGGCTGTACTCTTAAAATATTATATTTAAAAAGTATAGCCGCGAGGCTATATATATATTATTTAGACTTGATAAAAACTATCTATATTGTGGAAGCTGCATCTTCTGTTATAAAAAAACAAGAAGAAGTGATGCCATTGCCAACTGAAGAATGTTGATACCGACAACTCTTCTGGCTGGATCTCAGGTATGATATTTAACCTTACCCTGCTCCAACAAGTAAAATTTGATGTCATTTTCCAATCCTTTTATTTGGTCACGCACTTGTAAATGGCTTGGGTAATTATCAAGGAAATCACAATGAGGATGCACAATGAAAATGCCTTTTGTTCATTTGTTTTAATAAGCATGTTATTGTAGTAACAGGATTATTTCATGTGGATGTGTTGCACTTGACCAGCTGGTCTAGTTAATTGCAACTCAAAACCTTAGCATGCATTTGGATTGGGGTGCTGATTTCCTTGTTGGGTTTTCTTTAGCAATTTGAATGAGCTCATTTAACTTGTTTGTATGGTAATTTAGATAAGTTAAGCTCGTATATTGTCTCTATTGCCTATCTGGTCTCATACTGATGGGTTATATTGATGTCTAAACCTCACTCACTATCATCATCAACAAACAAAAATTGAAAATTGTATTACTGCTTGTAAAAACGGTTTGGGCTTAGAAATGTACATTGAATAACCTCTGAGAATAATTGCTACAACTAGATACTCTACAATGCAATGTTTCTCAGATATCATAGCTCATCCTTTGGCAGCGGTTCGTCTTCAAGGCACTTTTCATCCCAGTAGTAGGGGAACTTGAATTTTGCTGCAGTGTGAGGCATGAACCGGTCCTCAAACATGAACCTGAAACGGAGGAAAGAACTTGGAAGCATCATTCAAGCAAAATGAAAAAGTAAAAAATAAAACATAGAAAGTGTAATAAAATTGAACCATCCTTGGCAATCCAAAAAAGAAGAAATAAATAACCTAGAATGAGAAAATGAAAGAATGTGTCTGCATATCATGGTCCTCTTTTTGGATAATGAACATGAAGCAATTTCAAGAAGTATAGATAATAGTAAACATTGAAGATGAAAGAAGATAGATTGCATACACTTTAACTGGGGGATGCCTTTTCACTAGTATGCAGGCTTCAACATTGTCTAGCTTTATGTGTATCAGCTACCTGTGGAGTTTCCAGATATGTTACAATGGATAGCTGATTTCATTGGTCTGTTCAAGATAACTTTACATTCGGATTGGACTGAAGTTTGTTCGAGCTTCTCTCTTTTACTTTTCTACATCATCATACGTCTATCTTTTATCACATCTACAAATCCGACACAGTTTATGTAGCAGGATACTTGAAAACCAGTGACTTCAGCTTTTCTACAGTGTAGTTTCTGCAAGTTGATCATGTAATAATTCATTCCTGGATGGTATGGTTATATCATCCAAGCAAGTTGATCAGTTAAGAACCATGCAGATTTGGATTATGTGTAACAGAGAATCTTATGTTACTTATCAAATGTGTGTGTGTTTCAATTCTTAAAATCCTTGCCGCATTGCTTACCTTGTTGTGGTTTTTCTTTTACCTCTTCTTCCTTCTAATGCAGCTATCCTGTGTTAAATGTGATCTAGAGGAAATGGATTCAATCATTTGAGTTGATCTTATATGAAAGTGCAGTTGAAGTTGGGTTTTAGAAATCAATTGCTCATCTCTCTCATGCGCAAGAGAGAAAAAACTCTCAATCAAATTGAAGGGTCTAATAGAATATTTAAAGGGTATAGCCGGGCGGTTATACGCCTTGAATATATTCTAATATTTTAGCAGTATAGCCGATCGGCTATACTCTTCGGCTATACTCCTTAAATGTATTTTGCAAGTATAGCCGCACGGCTATATCCTTTAAATATTATATTTAAAAAGTATAGCCGCGCGGCTATACCATTCGAATAGTGTAAAAGTATAGCCGCACGTCAGCACTCTGAAAATAATATATTTAAAGAGTATAGCCGCGCGGCTACACTCTTTGAAGATATACGATTTTAAAGTGCAGCCAGCTTTCTTCTGTTTCTATTCGAATTGGTCGTTCTGAGAAATTCGAAGTCTTTGGGAAATGGGTTTTCGTGATTTTCATGTTAATCGAAAACCCATTGATGACATTTTGAATTTGAAGTGATTGGATTGGTTCTAATGGCCTCTCATGGGGAGATTTCTTGGCGGGTTTGTGTTGCCTCTGCTGCTGCTAACAGGTATTTAAATGAAAATGCCTTTTGTTAATTTGTTTTAATAACCATGTTATTGTATTAACAGGATTATTTCAAGTGGATGTGTTGCACTTGACCAGCTGGTCTAGTTAATTGCAACTCAAAAAGTTAGCATGCATTTGGATTGGGGTGCTGATTTCCTTGTTGGGTTTTCTTCAGTTATGTTTTTATGGTAATTTAGATAAGCTAAGCTTGTATATTGTCTCTATTGCATATATAGTCTCATACTGTATCCATCATCATCACCATAATGAGTAGTCTGAATTATAATTTGATATGGTTATGGAGAAATTCTGGACGCAGAAAACTTACTTATAGATACTGACAATCTCTGCGTGCTTAGTAACTGAGGTAAATGTGATAGCATGATTCTGCATTAGTATTTCTTTTGTTTTCGTTGTCAAAAATGCTAAGTGCATGCTATATGGATGATGCCAGTGCAACTTGCCATTGCATTGCCCCTTCTGTATAACAGTCTTGGTGCTGCAGTGCTCACATCCGTAGTAGGAATCATGTGTGTTCTTGTGTTTGTTGTGCTTGGCACGAGACGGAACAACAGGTTCCAGTTTAATGTGATGAAGAATCGGGATTCAAGAATGAAGGCAACAAATGAGATGCTTAACTACATGCGTGTGATCAAATTCCAGGCTTGGGAGGAGCACTTTAATAAGAGAATTCTGGCTTTCCGTGAGTCAGAGTTTAGCTGGCTGACCAAGTTCATGTACTCAATCTCTGCCAATGTTGTGGTTATGTGGTGCACCCCAGTACTTATATCAACTCTCACATTTGGCACTGCACTCTTATTGGGTGTCCAGCTTGATGCCGGGACATTGTTCACAACCACAAGCATTTTCAACATTTTGCTGGATCCCATCAGGACCTTCCCACAATCTATGATTTCAATTTCTCAAGCTATGATATCTCTTGGGAGGTTGGACCGTTATATGATGAGTAGAGAGTTGGTGGAGGATGCAGTGGAGAGAGACGAGGGCTGTGATAGTAGAACTGCTGTGGAGGTTAAAAATGGTGCGTTTAGCTGGGATGATGAAAGCAAAGAAGAGGATTTGAAACACATAAATTTGAATGTCAATAAAGGGGAGCTAACGGCTATTGTAGGGACAGTGGGATCTGGAAAGTCTTCCCTTCTAGCCTCAATTCTTGGTGAGATGCACAAGTTATCTGGAAAGGTATGATTTGATACCATTAAACCCTTTTCTAGATGTCTCTTATGACATAAAATCCCTCCACTGAACCATAAGTTTAAAACCAGGTCATAACTCACTCAAAAAGCTTCAGTTTAATCAAGTACTTGTTGAATTAATAAACTTTTTGAATAACAGGTACGAGTTTGTGGAACAACTGCCTATGTTGCTCAAACATCATGGATTCAAAATGGGACCATTGAAGAAAACATCTTATTTGGTTTGCCAATGGACAGAGAGAGATACCAGGAAGTTGTCAGGGTTTGCTGCTTGGAGAAGGACTTGGAAATGATGGAGTTTGGAGATCAAACTGAGATAGGAGAGTGTGGCATCAGATAAACTCAATTCTTTAGGTATGTGACTCTCCCCATTATTTACTCTCTGGAACTGAAATGCTAGCTAGCATTAGGATTTGGTACTGACTGTTTCCATCAAATTAAGTGGCTGATGACGGCGACAACTGGAGCGTGGGGCAAAGACAGCTTCTCTGTTTGGGGCGAGTTATGTTGAAGCACAGCTGGCTCTTGTTCATGGACAAGGCCACGGCTTCAGTTGATTCACAGACGGATGCTGTAATACAAAGGATCATCCGAGAGGATTTTGCTGCATGTACAATAATCAGCATTGCTCACAGAATACCTACAGTGATGGACTGCAACAGAGTTTTAGTAGTAGATGCAGGTGAGTGTTCTCTCCATCTTGTCACCTTCGGCATTTGTTTACCACCTGAAAATTGTAGCTCATGTTTTTTTTTTTAACAGGACTGGCTAAAGAATTTGACAAACCGTCCCGCTTGCTTGAGAGACAATCATTGTTTGGGGCATTGGTTCAGGAGTATGCCAACCGTTCATCAGGACTATAAGCAACCATCTTTGGTTTCTCTATCGTTGATTCCGGTGATTCCTTTTGTGCTCGCAAATCTTCCAAGAATCACCTGCCCGCATTTGCCCCTCCCATTATTAAAATAAGAAGAGGCCCTTCTCAGCTGTGTGTGGGAATTATCAAAACAATAATGCAAGTCCAAGTCAAGCCTCTCTTAGACTTGTGGCAAGAAGTAGCTAATCTACTCCAGTTACCACCTACATTTCTCCACTCTGTTTAGAATGTATTTAGATGAGAACATTAAACTTATGCTTCTTGACAAGGGTGCTGTTTATGGAAATCAGTTGTATTATTCTTGGAAAGTTGTCGATGCTCTCTCTCTCTCTCTCTCTCTCTCTCTCTCTCCCTACATAGTAGATATGAATATCAGCCCGGCTCTGTGCCGGATGTGCATTTTTATTGACATGGTTGATTGGTTTAGGGTGCAGAGGGTTTCCAGTCTAAGATTGGTTAATCACTTCAATTTTAAGTTTTAAGTATTAAATTTTCGAAGTTTCAAAAGATGTTTTGTATCATAAACAATCAATTTTTGCCAATAAATAGGATTAATGTCAAATAAAATAAGGTATAAATGAATTTTTCTCAATGCGTCATGTCTTTTCTGATATAAATTAAATATAGTGCTAGCTAGGGTTTAGAATAGGATGTCGCTTTACCTTCCTGAATGGAGCAGCTATTTAATCAATTTTACATTAAAAAGCGTCAATACGAAACGCAGCGTTTAAGGTGTTGTTGTAGCCCTTGTAGGTAAGAGATACAGCACCCTATTCTAAACCCCGAGCATAAACCCTAGAGACAGATTCACAGAGAGACAGAAAGAAAGAGAGATGGGAAGGTCACGAAGAAAGTACAAGCAATCGAGGACGAAGGTCCGCGTGGCGCTGCCGAAGAGGAAGCCCAACGTCTTCAAGGCAGCCTTCTGTCTCCCTCCGAAGCTTCGCGCCTTACTGGAACAACAAGGCCCATCCTCTGCCTCATGGAACGCCGAGGGCACTGTTATCGAAAACTATAAGTCCTTCGGCTTCGTTTCTAATCCTAACTTGCTCAGCGTCCGCTCTCGAACCTCTCACATGATCGAAAGCGATTCTCTCCAGGTCCCTCCTCCACCTCCTTCGGGAGATGAGCCCGTCGACGGTAGCGACGTCGAAGAAGACGGTCAGTTCTCTCTCTACTCTCTTTTTCTGAATTAGAAATTGGGAATTTTGTTTCTTTGGCTGAAATAAAAAATTGAAAGCTTAGTGCTTAATGAAATAACTGGTTGTGGATTTTTAAGGGAAATTGCAATTGAAGTTGCAATTGGTTTACTGGAAAGATTGAACTTTTAGGATAAAGTTATCTGCTTGAGGTTGAGGGGTAGTCAGTTTGCTTTTAGCTCTACACAAATTCCTTTCGTTTGGAGGGAAAAGTATGAGGAATAACCCAAACAGTTTACAGGGTTATTAAATCCAACAATCCCGGACAAAAGTTGAAATAAATTTTAGAATGGCCAAATACTTAATAATTTGATGAGATGGAGATCACTATATTGAGTTTGGCTTTAATTTGATCAAGTACTTATTAATCTGTAAGTCCAAAAAGTTTGGCTTAGGTAATCTGGTCAATTTGTTGACAGACAAACTTCAATAAGGTGATCCGTTACCGTTGGTGCTGCAGTTAATTAATGTATAAAGACCCTTAGAATGTAATGATGTAGAGGCTGAACTGGATTGCAAGAACCAAAGTTCTGTCTTCTGCCCTAAGAAATGGACTGTGTGTGTTTGATTTCGATTCGAGAAATACAGTGAAATTAAATATCACTATAGGGGAACCACACCAATCCATCCCAAATTTGGCGGTTAGACTGACAATGCTGTTGGGGAGGTCCTGCCGAAAATTAGCTCTGAAACCAGTACTCCTAGATTTACTGCTATTTTGAATTGCATAAATTATTTGTTGTGGAACTTGTTGGCTTGTTTATTTTCTTCTCTTTCAAAGGTGTGAAACTTGCGATTACACAACTTTCTTTGTTTCATACAGATTTGAGATCTAGTCTAGGGAAAAAGCGGAGAGATGGAAAATCTGCACCACTGCAACCATTAACGGCCATGCAACGTGTTTATATTGGTCGGCTCATTGAGAAGTATGGAGACGACTATCAGGTGGGATACAAGCTTATATTCTATTAAAAATTGAAGTTGTAAAGTTGCTTTCTGCGTGCTTAAGGTGGAATTGTTGCTTTGCAGGGAATGTTCATGGATACAAAACTAAATGCAATGCAGCATTCTGTTGCAACTTTGGAGAAACTATGCAAAAGGTATCACGTGCATAAAGATAAAAATCCCTTATTGATCCGTTGAGAAAGGCTCAGTCGTGCATGGCAATCTCATGAGAGTGATTCGATCACTAATGTGGTATTTTTTCTCGTTTTCATTATGTTGTATCTTTTTTCTCGTTTTCATTATGAAAGAATTTTGGTTGATGAATGATTTATATAATTGTTCTAAAGAAAATTTTGAACGACGGGAGTATATGATTGCGCACTGTATTGTAATAAGAACATGAAACCGTATATGTTGTATGAGTAAAATAGTGACTGTATTTAGACCTATTTTGTAGCTCTTTCTCGTTCTTAAAGCTGATGGCCGTCTCCCAACCTATCAATTATGGATATCGACCTCAACCTGCTCGGGCATGTAGACATTGTCTTCTGTGGTTGTGTTGTCTTGGTCTTTCAAATGCTCCAAATTGGGGTAAGATTCGAACATGTGGTCCCCTCATATCAATCACCTTGTTCGCAAACATCTCGGACACAAGAAATACTTTCCTACACCCGTTGCCTGAATTTTCCCTTTCTCGATACAAAGGGGTTGGGAAGTTTTTCTCCTCCTGCACCCCTCCTCTTCCTGCTTCTTGGCTAACAAGTCCTTGCCAGATGAACCATTCTTACGCAAATTACTAAAACGCAAAAGGGTCGCAAAGAAATACCCAGATAGAAATTCAGCATGGAAACAAAGCAAAGCCTACATAAATTCATAATGGAACCAATCTGAGGACAATTCAACTCTAACCATCTGTTTTAGCATCAAACATTTTGCTTTTCATATCAGTAGTACCCATCTCTTCTAGCATCATTAATTTACGACATGATACAAGGATGCAAATTTTACTCCAAATCAAAATTGATGAACAGATTGTGAATCCATATTAATAACAGACCAAGTTTACTTGGATTAAGCAAGCAATGACCGCAACGTTTAAGTCCCAAAAACTTGGAACACTAAAAACAAATTATATGTACAGCGTTAATCAAAGGCTACATACAAGGAACAGAACATCCACACACGGCTACAGTCGGTGGGTCACAGAACCCAACGGAAAAATAACCCGTAAATGGGTTCCAAAAGAGCACGAAGAATCTGTTGTAACAGTTTACATGGTGGGTAAGGCGGAAAAGGAAGGGCAAAATGGTCCCCAAGCAGTGAACAGACAGCACTTAAACCCCCATGAACGCCCGACACTGGGATTCCCAGTGCTGCTTTGCTTGCCGAACCCTCTCTACCCTTTCTGTCTGGAGCCTCTGCTCCCAGTATTCATGGCAGCTGTTCAATATGAACAAAATAAGAATGAGAATTTTGCATATATAATTTATAGGTCATTCACTAGAGAATAAGGATGCAAAGTAAGTAATATGGGGGGCAAAAACATACCTTCTGCTAAGTAACATGTTAAGCTCTTCTAAGTGTACAGCACCCTCATACACTCTTGCCTGAAATCAATATAAACAAATTACAAATGGTAAGTAAGCACAAGTTAAAGGCGCCACCTTGTGCCCTTGTTTGTGGTACAAAGGCTACCAGAGTACAAGCTCCAAGTGGAAAATGAGATAATGCTCACCTCTCGGCATAGAGGGCATTTTTCTTTAGGCTCTGCAGCCTTCAATCCATCAACAATAGTCACTGATGCAGCCGAGCAAGCACACATGTAGCAGAATATATGACCACATGTGAGAGCAACTGGATCAAAAACTGTGTCCTGAAAAGCAGAAGACAAAAGAAAAATCACATGAACTAACATTGAATAAGAACCTTGAATGAAGCACAATAATAGCAACATGTTTTCTTCTCTACAACTCCTACTTCAGTCATGCACGTTGCTGAGATGGGCGAAAAGATAATCTCTCAGTAGTCCTAGACTAGAGAGCTGCCAGAGCTTTAAGTTTGAGTTGATCAAATCAAACCCATAGGGCATGGCATATGCAGTTTGCGTTTAAGGATGTCAAACTTTAAAAACTGGCCATATGTGCTCCTAGTTCATAACAACGAGGCATAGAAGAAATTTTCAATTTGAGAGAGTAAGAGTAATATTTTGAGGGTGCTATAATATTTCAAGCTCAGTTCTTGAAACCTCTTATATTAGAATTGAATCCATAGACAGAATTAAATGATGTGCAGTTCAGTGCAGAACAACAAAAATATGCAGTAAAAAATGAATGATAGATATGCAGGACATCCTGTGAAAATAAAAAATCTTGAAACTTACCAAGCATATAGAACATGTCAAGTCAACATCAAGCTTGACAGAATCAAAGAGCTCGCAGGCGAGAGATGGTTTCCCATCATTGATTTTGAGGGAGCATCCCTCAAACAAGGCTGGTGCCTTCCTTGACTTGGTCTTGGTTTCCCTTAAATTGATGTGAAAAGCCATAAGCTCACAAAGCCATGGACTCTGAAGGATTCCAATGTGCATACTTTGAGCTTGCGACTTGAAGGCCTGTCCTTGCGTTGAGTAATGAATCTGTCCCAAAATACAAACAAAATATATTCATTCAACTAGATTATCAAAACTCGGATAAATTAAATGTGTTCAAAAAGTGCAACTTGTATACCTTATCATATTTCTTTAGTATTTTTCGAATGGCAATGGCGTTGATCAGTGCATAAGTAACAAGGTCCTTGCCTTCTTCAATTAAGCCAACATGGTTCCCTCGAAGTTTGCCTTTGAACCAAAAGAAGTACTTACGAAAGCCTGAAGCCAGATGCAGGTCAAGCAATTTCTGTGCACGCTTATTAAAGAAGCCTACCACTGCAGACATCTCCTTGAGAAGGGCAGGGAAAAAGCTCCCATCACACACTGCGCAATTCAGAATTTCGAACTAAATATTAGCATAAAACCATTGCCAGACACAAAAAAAACCTTTTTTTTTCTTTAAATAACTAGTAACTGTGAGCAGGTGAACCAATCGTGGGTTCAAAAAGTTTTAAATTTGGAAGTTAAAACAGATTCCATATGCCCTGAACATCAATACGGCCTTAAATTTTTTCTTCTTGTATTTATCCTCCAACTTGGCTATAAATATGAATGCAAGATCATGTCAAAGAATTTCAATGGGATTGAAGAAAAGATATATCCAGCATAATAAAATCCCAATATCCAAGAAATGGACCAAAGTTGATAAATTTACTGTCACAATTAGACCCAAAATAAAGAGATTGAAGAATGATGATTCAACAGAAATAGATAGAATGACCTGGGCAATGGTCAGGGCATGTTCGAACGTCATGGACCTCATGACTGTCCTCCCTGCGACATTTCTTCAAGATCTTCTTCAGCTTCTTGAAGCCAACCCCAGGTAGCTTCTTCTCCTGGCCTTGCATGTACTCCTGGTATTTCTTGCAGAATTTCATTTTTCATCAATGGCCACTAAAAATCCTTCGCTTTAAATTAAAATTTAGCGAAAAACAGAGATGGGTCCGAGAGAGAGATGCGAAGATGTAAACTTTTTGATTCCTTGATGCTAATATCACTAATGAAATGGATCAAATGGTATTCTTCTCTTTCTGAGACTCTCCGGTGATGAGGTGGTGTTGTGTATTTGGCTGTGTGTAGAGATGTGTTTTAACGGTTTATATCTATCACTTGAAGAAGACGTATAATATATAAAGGACGAATTATATCATCCATATGCCAAGTGAGCACTGAATTCCCGAGAAAAAGTCAATTTTTCAAGAATTTCTCGGAAACTTAAAACAGACGGAACATGTCAATCTGAGTTGAGTGAATGAAGCCACAAATTTGAAAACCTTTTTCATTTTGGGGTAAATCCATGTGGGGAAACTTTCCAAATCAAGATTAATAATACAATGCAACAACAAATAATGTATGCTCGTTATGCTCCACCTCCACTTGGGGTAGGTCGGTAGACCGTAGATGTGACACTTTCCATTTTTCTTCTTCTATATTTTGTCTGCTTGATTGATTCCTATTTGATAAAAATTACTCTGAATAAAATGTCTAGACCCTTCTTTTTCTATGTTAATTCTAGACCCTTCATTTTTTATAATATTAATTTTTGTTGTTGTAAATATTGGAAAAAAAATAGTTTTTTTCATTAAAAAAAATACTTGGCCAAAAAGAAAGAAGAAAAGAAGATAACCATCATCACATGTATCATGTATACATACGTAATATTTGAAGGACAAGGAGGAGGATCATGTGAATTTTGGCAGCAAACAAAAATAATCCATGGCCCGTCTCAACTTCGGTTATTCTTTTGGGCTATCACAGGCTCGATAATCCGGTTGTGTGGACAGTTCATGCGACTTACTAACGATTGCTAAGAAAGATCCAACAAAAGACACATTTTAGCTTCCTTCGCGGTATAAATTTTGGTCCACAAAGGAAATATGAGATCTTTTGGGCATCACTCATACCACTTTTGGGCTTTTGACCCAAGAAAAAAAAAGACTATCTAGTTTTGGTTGCATGATATTTATTAAAGATGTGAACCAAATCCAATCGGTGGTCCTAAAACCAAATATAGAAAAGAAAATATTAAACCACAAATAAATAGAAAAATAGAAAATAAAAAACCAAACGAGTGGTGAGGGGTCTTGCGGCTGCTGCTGCATTAGCCCACAGAAACAAATCAGTGGACGGTTTTCTTCCATAACAAACAAACATACTATTAATAATTAGGAATTAAGCTATTGTGTGCTGACGTAAGACTCACCTTAACCTCTGGGGATTTGCCTTAACCTCCCTCCACCACACCCCAAAGTCGTTTCTATCTTTCTAGGGGCAACGCGAATGATTAGGAATTAAGCTATATTCACGTACCAAACGACGCCGTCCCACTCACCTCTTGTCAGAATAACAACGCCGCAAGCTCATAACCGAATCAATTCCTACATTACAACAAACCCACTCATTTGACCAGAAGAAGCTCTTACAAACTGCAATTTTAGAGACACAGACACACAGAGACAGAAACAACAAGGAAGCGAATAAGAGAAAGAAGAAAAACCAGAGCATTAATGGCGACGACTGTAGAGAAGCAAGTGATGGTGATCGGGGCCGACGAGAGCGAGCAGAGCGCTTACGCTCTGGAATGGACTCTCGACCACTTCTTCGCGCCCTTCGGTCCCAACTCTCCGTTCAAGCTCGTCATCGTCCACGCCAAGCCCATGCCTTCCTCCGTCGTTGGCCTCGCCGGCCCTGGTAATTCTCATTTAATCATTTTATTATTTTAATTGTGATCTTTGTCGAGGTCATCAGCTAAATTTGCGTGTTGTGCTTAATTGTAGGAGCGGCGGAGATTTTGCCAATTGTGGATGCTGATTTGAAGAGGATGGCTGCCCGCGTTACTGACAAGGCTAAGGAACTTTGCGCCACCAAATCGGTATATTTCTTTTTCTTTTTCTTTTCATTTTGTTTTAATTCTTTCTTGTGATGCATGTCCCTGAAATTGAATTGCTTCTTATGAAAGTTTGGTCCTTTAAATTTTATTATATGATTGTTTTGCACCATGTCTTGAAGCAGGCATTTCATCTGAGTTTTGCTTACTTTGATTTGTGAAGAAGACTAATGTGGTTTTCCCAAGTGTTTTTTTTTCTTCAATAAATAAAAAAAACAGAAAGATATAGCCGAAGCTAATGACAATCCTAGTACTACTCTTGCAAGCCTTAGGTGATATGATTATGAACAACTTGCATTTCCCTAGCCGGTTTCTGAACATTACATATTCTTCGCAGGTGACTGATGTGACTGTGGAAGTGGTGGAAGGAGATGCTAGGAATGTTATCTGTGATGCTGTTGACAGGCACCATGCATCTGTCTTGGTTGTCGGTAGTCATGGCTATGGAGCCATAAAAAGGTATTCCATCATGCATGTGCTAATCTTATGAGTGGAACAAGAATAACCATCTCTAAATTTTCAGAGAGTTCAGTTTTGAACTTTTGAACTATCGACGGTATAATTTGCGGTTAATTGATTTATTATATCGAGGATGCAAACAAGATTTTAAGTCTTGTTCAGGGTTTTAGATGCCAATAGTTGCTGCATAAATTCGTTTAGACTGTTTGTGCCATGACTAGTTTTGGTTGCTGCATAAAGGGTGTTACTTGTCTGCAGAAAATCTTAATGCTCTGTTTGATTCTGGTGCAGGGCGGTTCTTGGAAGCGTAAGTGACTATTGTGCTCATCACGCTCACTGCAGCGTGATGATTGTGAAGAAGCCTAAAACAAAACATTGAGCTGAGTGAGCCTCCTCCTATCTGTGGCTTCAGTTAAGCATGGCGTTTCGTGGTGGCAGTATTACGATACTTATAATAAATTCAACCATTTGTGAGTTGTAAGGTTATATACTTGTGGTTATAGTTTGATTGTTCAAAATACAAAGTTTGGCATGTATTATTGTAAGGTACAAAGTTGAAGCTTAAACTTTTGTAATGTATCCTCCGTATATCAAAAGTTGGATTAGTGAAGTTTATGATATAAGTTTATGATATTTCATTCATCATTGATGTTCTTAATTTTACAAAAATGTGAATTCCAAATAAATACCAGTTCAGTTTACCCAAACGCATGTCAGCTCGCATTGGACACCAAATCTTTCGTGAAAAAAACGACATAGGCCTCAAAAGTGTTTCAGGGTGGCAATTGTCCGACAACAGACAGCAGCAAAAAAGGGCGTTGACGTTGTTGGTCTGGAAGAAACCATGGTAGATATGGATATACATGGCAAGCGACAGCCAAAGATTGTGTTAAAAGTTTCCTCAAATGACACTCGATCTGATCCACGACCTTTTGACTCAGACAAACTCAAAGGCTAATTAATAAGTCGTTATCCTTTCTGTATGCTAGCCAGCTTCGTATATTCACAAAATTTATTGATAAAATTACTCCACAGTCTTTTACTTGAAATATAAAATAGAAATCATTGCCCTTAGCTTACTTCAAACGATAAGTTTTCTCCTCGTTGTTGATGTAGGAGACATATACTGTGCGCCAGTTGCCAAATCTCAAGTTATAGTCCCCCTCTCCTGGGGATGAGTAGTAGTGAAGAAGCTCCGTTTCTGGCATATCTAGAAGAAAATCAGGAATTAAACAAAGCTGCAATGGCGAGTAGTGTCGAGAAGTCCAAGCAAGTAAGAAGCGTCTATGCTCTCGAATGGACTCTCTTAAGGAAGTTGAGGTTCCACCCCAAAATCAATTGGCAATGGGGGGAGTAGCCCAACTCCTTATAAGCCCTTGCTAGGTGTCTCAACTTTCCAATATGAGACTCTTTTCCTTCACATTCTCACACTCTCAACCACTTCTTCATCCCCTATTGGCAATGGGGGGAGTAGCCCAACTCCTTATAAGCCCTTGCTAGGTGTCTCAACTTTCCAATATGGGACTCTTTTCCTTCACATTCTCACACTCTCAACCACTTCTTCATCCCCTTTGCATCAAACCCTGTTTTCAAACTCGTCATTGTCCATGCCAAACCCTCTTCCCATCAAAACCTGTTTTCAAACTCGTCATTGTCCATGCCAAACCCTCTTCCCCTGTTATAGAAGTCCTATAACATTCTGCACGCATGCGTATACAAATGCAAATACGCATGTGTCTGTGACATACCTTTTTTGCAACAATAATATTATTTGTACCACACAATTTATTGACCACTCTAGGTGATTAACAATGTCGTCAACAAAAATGGTACAAATATCAAAACTCTTTTTAAAATGTCGATAACACGCTCTCGTCCATATTATGTCGACCAAACAGTAGGCTGGACAAGAATTGCAATGGTAGATAAGAGCATTTTATTTTCATGTTGAAAATGCATCATTGATTTGATTAATGAACTGTGTAGGAGGATTTGAAGTTTTGCCAACTCGGGAGGCGGAGCTGAAGAAGATGGCCATCTGAGTTGAAGACAAGGTTAAAGAAATTTGTGCCAGCAAATCGGTAATAATTTCCTCATGCAGGACAGCTTTCTGTGAAACCAATTAAACATATAGTGGTTGCTTAGAATTTTATTTTCTGTGTCTGAGTGTCTTTTAGTAGAGCTAGGTCTTCAATTTATTATGCAGGTGAACGATATGGTAATAGAGGTGGTTGCCGGGGATGCGAGGAACGTTCTCTGTGAGGCTGTAGAAAGACACAAGGCATCCATGTTGGTTTCTGGTAGCCATGGCTATGGAGCTATCAAAAGGTACATCTATAAATACATATAAATATGTAAACATATCATCTCATGATGTAACAATCCATTGCATTGGCATATTCTGCTGTTGTAACTTGCAGGGCTGTTTTAGGCAGTGTAAGTGATTATTGTGAAGAGGCCCAAAATAAAAAATTGAAGCTACCCACCTACCACTCCAGCTACCTTGCCTTAGCTGCCTGCTTCAAATAAGCCAACACATATGTTGCTGCAGCACTAGCTAGCTGCTGTGTCCGCCAAATAATTTTAAGCTCGGTAGCTTTTAAAGAAATGTCGTTTTCCTTGGGAAATACGTTGCTGACATGCATGTTATGTAGTTTTGGTTTATCAACATATCTGTTTTCTTTCAAGACTTCTGCTTGTTTCTGATGGTAAAAGCAGTTTGTATTTGTTCGAATTATGAAATCTGACTTCAAATCTAAACAATGCCGCTGATCCAATGAATCGGCTTTTCTAGTTGGATGATGATCCATGATTTTGGAGATCAACGTTGCATCTTTCTGATTCCAGCAAACATCATCATCAGGGAACAGAGGGCTACTTTCTATTCTGAAGCTTGAAATTGGAAAATGTTTTCCAACACGCATGACAGAACCAAAGGTATTCCTAGAGAATTGGCTTGTTGAAATTAGGAAGGGCAAGAGACGAAGCAATTACAAGCTAACCAAAATTTCTTATCAAAATGAAAGCATCGCATTCAACTCAAAATTTCTTACCAACCATCTAAAACAACAACAGAACTTAGGATCTTAACAAAATGAAAGCATCGCATTCAACGCAAAGATGATCTTAAAATGAAGCATCTCATTCAAATTACAAATTTCTTATTGAAACACAAATAACAACAATAAAACAAAGCAGATTTGAAGGACACAACCATGAACAGCAACAACAACATAATGCTCCTCAGAAACTGATATACATTGGAAATAAACACATTCCTCTCTCAATTCCTCAATTCCTATACTCATAAGAGACACTTCAATGATAAATGAAAGAACTAGAAACCCTCCACGAACTGAGAACAAGCAAATGCCATTAAGAGTACAATGGCAAGTCAGTCCAAGCCCCTGAGACATGCCCATTTTCACAGACATAAGCTCGAACAACCGGCTCACCATCGTCATGGTAACCGAAAACCCGCCTCAAACAGAAGGCAGAATGCAAATCCCAAGTTTCTTTACAGGAGCAAAACGCACAATTCAGATCAATCTTGCTCCTATTCCCATCCTTTATGGTCCTCCACACTTGAGACCCCTTGAAATCCTTGAAAATCCCTCTGAAAAGCATGTAATTCCGCTTCTCTTCGATGTGAACACAGCCAGGCCAATCACATAAGTATAAGCAATCACCACGGAACCGACTGTGAAGAAGCTTATTGCCCTGTTCACGGCTCAAATTCCAAACCCCAGAAGCTAAATGCGACCTCATCGACCTACAAACCTTCCTCTTCTTACATACAGAAAATTCACCGCCCACTCTAACACCACCTTTCTCAACACTAGCCTGATCCTCTGCTGCTTCTACTTGGGCTTCAGAATCAACATACACCGTATCGAAATAAAGATCATCAAAGAGAGACCAAGAACAATTAGACCCTGAAGCACCCACTTCATGATTCGCACCAATTTGGCTCGAGGAAGGGTCGGTTGGGGGCTTGGCTGCCGGAGAAGAATCCAATCTCCGATAATTCTCATCAGGGCCAACCTCGCGTTCGAGCCCGAAATCGGAGTTCTCAAAGAGAACACCGGAGTGGAGGAGACCGGGGCAGCACACCGCGAGCTTGTGAAGCGCGGCCCAACCGCCCGGTGGCGCAGATGAGCCAGAGAGGAGATTGGAGACGACGGAAGGGATGACTTTGGAGCACTTGGTCTTCCAGCAAACGTTGCGAATCAAAGACGAGAACTTGGTGCAAGAGCAGGCGAGCCTGGCCCAGTTTCGCGGGTCCTCTTCGAGCTTGAAGAGAATCTTGAGAACGACGTCGTCGGAGAGCTGGGAGAAGAGGGCTCCGGCCATGTTAATTTGTCCTAGGAGAAAGGAAAATGATATTGCAGGAATTGCTTATTTTTGTTTTTTGGGTGGTACCTTAACAGAATTTCTGTTTGTTTGGTGTTTTGTTTTTCTGGTTTTTTTTTCTAGCGAATGGAATTGGAAGAGAGACCGGGAAAGAAGTATGAGAGTGAGAAGGAGAGTGCGGCGAATGTATTTTTAAAAAGGAAGGGCCAAAGTGAGAGAGAGAGAGAGAGAGAGAGAGAGAGTTGATTGTTTTTGTTGTGGGGTGGGTGGGAATCCGATGGCGGTGAGATGGGTTTGGCTGTGGTGGGGGACTCTACCAGCTATTTGATTCCATTTTCAGTTCTTGCCTGCCCCTCTCTCTTTGTTGCTTTGAAGGTACAAAAATTTGTTTGTTTTTTTGTGATTTTGTCACACTTATTTTTGTTAGGGCCCATCAATCCTCTCATGACTTGTGAGCCTTTTGACCACACTTGATTAGGGCAAAACAACAGGCTCTCTCATCCCTCACTTATCATTTGATATTCGCATTCTAACCTTGCAATGTAGCCAAAACATTAATTCTTTTTTAATATGAAGATCCTATCTTCATATTTCTTCCAACATTAAAAAAAACAGTAGTAGCATTAAACTTGTTTCTTAGAGAGAAGAAAAAAAAAAGCAATATCTAAACTAAAGAAGAGAATTTGAACATCAAATCTCGGATGCATAGATAATCACTCTTCATTAAACCACTCAATTTTGTATTTTTGGAAAGATAGGGATATGGATTTGAACATTTATAATTATTGATTTCATTGGATTTTGTGGAATGTGGTTGTTGGATTCGGGAAATTTGAGTCCACAAAAAAGAACATGGCTGGTTCACTCACGCTAGACAAAATAATGAGTGGCATAAGATCGAACATGGCCCGTACAATCTCTACTTTGTTGCACATTGGTGTTTGCATTTCTTATCACCTTGTCATTGCATACAGTGTTTCTTATCTCTCCAGTGTCTCTGATTCCCTTGCTCTTTAATCGATGTGGACCGGCCTTCCTTTTTTCACATTCATACACGGCTTCTTTACCTTCCTTCCTTATCCTTGCTTGATTAGCTAGCCATCTGCTCACTTCACTTTTTTGGAGAAAACGACTGCTTATCTAGCGTGTCAGTTTATGGAATAACATAACTTGCCGTCTTTAAAATCAATAACGTCAGCTTCACGCAAATAAACGACTAAGCTTATGGTGATGAAAAAAGAACAATAAAATGAATGAAGGCCATTGAAAACAAAATCCCGGTGTAATAATCTAAAATCTAAACGGCAACCCAAAGCAAGCACCAAGTTTCAATTGGCATCCCGATTCAACATCAAAGCATGAGATTATATGTAAGCTAACTACGGGGAAAGTAAACAAACCAGCAAGAAAACATACTCTGAAACTTCCAACAGCAACATAGCAAAAATCTCATATTCATTACAAGGTGCGAAGATGGTAAAACATCAGTTTCAGTTAAACAAGAATGCAACCAACACAATGGCTTGCAAAATGAATCCATCCATAAACTTAAAAGTCGGATAAATAAAAGGCGTCCCACTTCCACTGCTTTAACAACCATAGTAAAGCTCCCTCCTGCTGGTAGCTTCGGGTAAGGGATCAAGTATCACCTGTCAAACAGAAATATTGCAATCACAATCTAGAAGGAATTTTTGCATATTAATCACAACGCAAGAGCGATTCATGGGAAATGTAGTCGGAGGAGAAAAAGACAGTGCCCAATGATGACACTACTCAAAGTGGATATAATGCCCAAGAATACCGTGACAAACTCCTGCTCCTGCTCCGGCTCTGGCTTGGACTCCTGCTAGCACTACGCTTCTTTGGACTTTTACTTATGTGTTTCTTCGGGCTTTTACTTATGTGTTTCTGATTATGCCAAAGAAAAAAAATTATGAAAGGCAAGAAGGAGCCGTGACCAATCCAGTTGCAGGTATTATACGAATCCAATGTTAAATAAAATCCAGGGAGGCCATCCATTAGTCAAGGAGAAATCAAATAAACATTAGACTTTATCGCTGTCATGTAAAAGAAGAAAAGAAACATCATAAGTGAGGCTTAATTATGCTTCAACTGTTGCAATATCATGTCCTTATAAAACTGGGTGAGTCAAAAGATATTGCAAAATTATTCAAAAGAATAAAAGGTAACACTTACCGAAGGCAGTGGAGATCTGCTTCTTGATCGTGATCTGCAAAAGTTCCAGAAACAACCCAATTTAATAACCATGTTCCTTTTACCAATTTGGTCCAAGGTCCTTGATGCCTCTTCCATGTGAAGTTACCATATCCAATAAGGATAGAAGAAAAAGGTTTAAACACTCAGCATATGAATAGAAAGAAGAAAAACAGAATAAAACAATTAACGTAATCCCCGCCAAAACAGAACAAAATCAGAGGCAAAAATATTTATGAAAAAAAAAACATTATGATTATTATCAGACACCAGTGGAAACAAGAGGAGCATTCTTCCCTACTGTAACACAAGAATCCAGGATATCCAGATAGTGCGCCCTATTAGCTTGGCAAAATGTTGGAGCAGGAAATGAAAATCAAATGCTCATTGATGATGACTTCCAAATCCCAATGGCACTTAGTTCACAGATATCCAGCTTTACTAGTGCAATCCAAGACCTCCATTGTTCCCAATCTAGCACCCATGGACATTTAAAATGCTAAAAGCATTAGAACAGAGGTACCATGAAGGTTTCCAAAGCTGCCTATCTAAAAAACAGCATACCTCCACAGAAAAAGAGTTGTAAGCAATTGACCATATCCAATCAAGATCCTAATATCCAATCCCCAGTTCGCCGCATATATCCATATCTAAAAGAAAAACAAAGGTAATTTTCATGCAAGCAAAAAAGAGAAGAAAATGAAAACTAGGTGGATATCTGACTCCTTAGCAAACCCCACTGCTGACCAAGCAAATAATGGAATGAAGCAACAGAAAGTATTTCAACACAAAGGACATAATTCATACTACACAACAGCAAGAAGACATTTCAATCTAAGCAAAATAGCACACCACTAATCTTTAGACATCCAAAGACCAAGTTAATCTGAGTCAGTACTTACATCTGTCAACACAACAATTAGTTAAATTTCAACAACTCAGAAATTTAATAGCACAACTAGAAAATGTTACAACGCAGATGTCACAATTCGACTGGCAAAAAATATTATTGTGTCCATCAGTCTTCACCTCATGGACCAATGAAAATCCAGCCAGCATGAATACCAACAAACAAATAGGTATAATGACTAATTGAGAAAAATAACACATACCCTAACGGAGAGCGAGATCTTGATCGCGAGCGAGGCAGAGAAGCAGACCTTGATCGAGATCTAGCAGGTGAGCGGCGTGAAGATTTGGTTTTCGGAGACTTGCTGCAAAACAAGTGAAAAAGTAAGAACACAATATAGAAATGTTTATTCCCCACATGTACTAAGCTGAGTTATTGAAAATGGTCAAACCTCCTGCTTCTGCTCCGGCTATAACTTCGACTACGACTACGACTGTAGCTCCTGCCTCTTGAATGAGATCTACCACGACTAGGACTCCTAGATGAGTCCCGCTTCGAATCATACTCCCTCACCTGTAAGAAAATGAGACAATGAGCATCTTTAACAAAAGACAAATACAGGAGGAAAGGAGAGTACATTTTTCAAATTGGTAAGATGCATACACGAACAGAAGAGCGAGAAAAGGCATTCCGGAACTCAGAGCCATCAAGCTTCTTGATCTGCCGAAAAAAATCGATGAAGTTTGAGAATATAATCTTTGTAGTAAGTAGAAACTTCAGACACATGCATGTGTTGATAAAAGGGAAACCAAGCACCCATACTTCATCAAAGGTTATCCACAATATGAATGTCTGGAGTGGGAAAGTAAAAGCAAGACTTACCGCATACTTCATGTCGTCAAAGTTAGTGTAATCCACAATCCCTGTTGTGCCTATAAAACAATCATAGGGCAGAAAGCTAAAACAATTGCTATTGTAATGTCTTCTGAAGTAGGTCTTAAGAAAACAAATTTGGAAACACAACACAATCAAAGAGCAGAGAAAATCCAAAGATAGTGCGAAATTTGGTTGAGAAGCACTATTAGTATTAACCTGTCTAGTTAATAAATTCTATTGGCACCACCTAGGACAAAAGAACTTTAAGTGACCAAGGCAGCAACATCAGCCATAACAACAAAAACTAGTAGGACAGAGGATAGATGAAAAGCAAGGAACTCTATAATGGTCTTAAGAACTCTAAAATGCTAATTCTGACACAGTATTTCTTCCATGAACTTCCCCCAAAATTACAAAGGCAAAAAAAGATCACAATAAATGTTTCTATAACAAATTTGCCACAATATATATGTACAATGTACCACCAAGAAACACACTTGAAGCATGAAGAGCATCTTACCACTACCATCACGAAAAACTTGGGAGAAACAGACATCTCCAGCCCGTCGCATGTGATCCTGAATAAAAATACATCGTATGTGTCAGACATGCATGAAAAGTTTCCACACACAGAAATACAGTTATAATAAAAATATCTCCAATTGATAAATACACACACCTTAAGATCTTGCCATGAAGCTGAAGAGGGTAGTCCACTGACTAACACTGTGGATGGAACAGGTTTAGAAACATATCAAATGCATCCTACCATATAAAAGAGCACAAAGTGTAACAAATGAAATACAAACCACGAAAATCTGATCTCCTGGACATCCCACGCCCACCTCGACCACCACTATAATTACTATGACGAT